CCTCTCCCCCCCTTTTTTTTTTTCTCCTTCTCCACTAAATCTAGCCTTCTCCAACTTCATGAAATATTGACAGTCCCAGAATCCATGTTTCAAACAGCTGCACCTAGTTTTTCAGGCATTAAGATGCTAGAGGTAAACAACATGTGAGGTACAGGTAAGATGCCATCCCCCCCATCACATCTTCTTAACTACTTGTACTGTACAGTATGAAACAGGCAGGAATCAGAATCTAATTATTATGTGGGTACAAAGTCTGTGCTCTATGGTATACCACCCACCATCAGAGGCACAGAGAGGTTCTGAAGCTCAGTCAAGGTATAAAAGTCCAATCATATGACTATGGGCCCATTGACTGATAGCTCTATCTCCCTTTTGATCTCCTCCTTCACTACCCCCAACTTGCTAGGCTCCCATACTCTCCTACTACTTAGAGCTATCTTGGAGGACATTTTAGGGCAGGGACCCAAACCCATCTGTGAAAGAACCCATCTGATTCTCCTGTGAACCACAAGATAACCATGAGCCACCTCCCTCTGCGAGAGTGAGGCAGGAGAAAATCGTCAAAGGATGCCTAAAAGTTCAAAACAAGGAATCTAGAGCTCCTTGAAAGTTTTTGTTCCATCCTTTATCTTCAAATTCCATAGAAATAATCAATGAAATCTAAAAATGGGTTATACCAACAACAGTGGTGGTGTGAGGCATTGAGGAGTATATGGCTGCATCTGCAGAGGTCTTGGGAAAATGTCTACAAGATAAAGCACATTAATGAAGATCGTTGATTGGTAGTGTGTAATTCCTCTCCAGACTGATTGGTATGAATTAAAAAATTGAACTTACTTACTCTACTGACATCCCATGATTTTATGGGCAATGATCTGGAGGTTTGGCCAAGAATAACAGACCATCTGAAGATCTATCTTGGCTTTCTCCTGCCTCTGAAAATTGATGTATCATGAACCACTCAGGCAACACTAGGAGGTTCAAAGTTTGCTGCTTATGATAGTGACCACACCAAGAATTTATCTAGTGAAGCTAGACATTTGCCCCTCATGTATTTATTACTTGTTTGCATTTCTTTTTTATAGATACCAATAAAGTTTTTCTTCTTCATAAGGATTCAAAAAATTTATTGTTAAAGTTAATAATAAGCTACTTTTGTTGCTGTTCATGTTGTGAAACTATTTTGTTTCCCACGATTTTTTCTTTGCATTTTCATTAGAAAGATAAAAATAGCACTTGCATGAAATGCAAACTGTGCAGAAAGAGACAAAGTTAAAATAAAATTCTTACCTGTATTCCTTGATCCTGCTCTGAGATTTTTCCCACAATGCTAACTATTATTACTAGGCAGGATGGTGGATGAGAGTATGAGGTCTTAAGTGTGCCTTGGTTTGAATTCTGGCTTTGCCATTTATTTGCTACGTGACCTTCGACAAATTGTTTGACAGTCAATACTTGAATTTTCTCATCTGAAAATTCAGGGTGACATTTCATAAGGTTGTTATGAGCATTAAATGAGTTAACACATCTGAGCTAATGCGTGTGTTTAATAGTTATTAAATTTAAACTTTTTATTTTGGAATAATTTTAGATTACAGAAGGGGTGCAAAAACAGTAATGAGAGTTCCCATACATTCTTCATCCAACTTCCTCTAATGTTAGCATCTTACAGTGATCAAAACTAAGAAGTTAACACAAGTACAGTACAACAACACTACAGAGTTTCTCCACTACCGTTCTTTTT